AAAGTATTAGATAAATTTCAGTAAGTGTGTTCAATACTTTTTCCCTGTGCCATTCCACATTATTACAAATAACTTCATTTCTGGACATTTATGATCACTTGGGTTGTTACCGACATCTGTGAAAATTCCATGTCATTAGCACCTCTAGTAAAATATTTACTGAGAAAAATGGTGACGTGTTCAATACTTATTTTACCTGCTGTATGTAAATATACTGTATTTTCTGATCTAATAGATCTCAAAGTAACAAAAAAGATCTAATGAAACAGCAACACTTGTAGGCAAGACTTTTTTAAAATAAAAACATAAAAATGTAGATTTAGCTTGAAATCTGCTTTATATGAACGATGGCGCAGTTGTTTTGCCTCTGAGCTGCTGAACAGAAGCAGCATTAATCTGCTGTTGTTCTGCAGAGCGTCCGGCTCCAGTCACACGACTCTTAGCTGCACCGACATGAAGACACAGAAACAGATCCACACGACTCCTGTCGGGTCACAACTGCAGAACCTTAATGGTAAAACCTTCATTTATTATTATTATATGTATTTTTTATTTTTTTTTATTCTGTCATTTGTTACGTTTTAGTCAATTATTGGGGAATATTGTCAGCTCAWTAGTTGAAAATTTGAAATCTAAAATATCTTTGTATTTTAATTTTTTTTGTTGCAGAAAAAGACACCATGATGCAAATCAACAAATTTAAGGTAAGATTAATAATTATTTTTAAAATATGATATTACTTCAGAACCCTGACAGTTTTTAACTAATAAAAATAGCTTTTCTAGACTTAGAGAAATAATGTCTTTTTTTCTTGTCACTTTTATTTTGACACTTTTCAGTGGAGGCATTTTCAAGTGAATGAGTCACATGTTTATAAATACCATTTGGCTAAATTTAAACATCAGTTTGTGTTATTTCTCCTTTTTTATGACTGCTTCAGTGCTTTCAGTTTGCCAGACGACAGTGTGAAATCTGAAAACATTTTAAGTTTTTTTCAAAATTTCTGCCAATTTAAGTTTAAATTAGTTTTTTATTCTTTTACTTTGTNTTTTTTCAAAATTTCTGCCAATTTAAGTTTAAATTAGTTTTTTATTCTTTTACTTTGTAAAAAGTAAATAATTTATACTTTTTATTTAGTTTTAAATCATGCACTGTAAAAACAATACTTTTAGTGGATTCTGTTTTGAAATACTTTACTGTTTGTCATTTAAATATGAAATATATGCCATCATTTATTTTAAATTTAACTTAATTTGGGTCAGTACCATATTCTAGGCTCAATCTCAGGACAGAAAAACATGTCAGCTGCTGTAAAGACTCTCTTCATCTGCATTTTAATTCAAGGTAAGCTTTTTCTCACATAGTTTGTTTTAGATAATTTACCAGTTTTCACATGTCTTAATAAGTGTTTTTCTTTATTTTAAATTATTTTCAGTTCTCATTTCATTTGTGGCAGTTGAGTAATAAATAGCTTGTTGTTTGTTTAATCCCACCATCGCTGTGTCCCAGGCTCTGTYTGCCAGCACTGGACAGCCTCGCTGCCTCAGACGGTTAAAGGCCTGAGTGGATCGTGTGCGGTCATCCCCTGCAGCTTCAGCCTGCCTCCAGAGTGGGACCAACACCTGGACGATTCCTGCAGAGCMATATGGAAGCGAGGCAGCTGGAGGCAGACACAAGTGTTTGATTCCAGCCTCACTGGRGAAAACGTGAAGCTGAACGTCATGCAGGGAAAGCTGACCGGAGTTCTGCGTGACAAAGACTGCACCGTCGTCTTTAACGACCTTCCATCCAACAGCTATGATCAGTATTACTTCAGACTGCAGTGTGACAACCCGCTGAAATTCAACTTTCCTACAAGTGTCCACATCACGACTCAAGGTTTATTTCTTCTAATTGGTTTTGAACATATGATTGGTAGGGGAGACCGGGGACAGYAGCAACAAGGGACGGTTGCAGCACGTCATTTTTCTCCAAACAGAAACAAGCTGACACTCACACWGTACATGCTCAGTTAGATGCCCCACCTTGTAAAGAAAAAGTAAACAGGTTCAAAAACTGCTCCAGGATTTATTTGAAAAAAAAAAAAAAACTGTTCTTGAGGTACCAAATATTTTTTTGCCCAGCTTTATTTTTGTTAAACTGTTGTCACTGTTTTTGTGATCCAGCTCAAACTTATTTGGTTTAAACCAGTGATATGTTGACTTTTAACTAATCTAGTTAACATGTATCCAGATCAGCTTATTTAGCTAACACATGAGGTTTTATCGTGGCTGACAGGAAGGGGGACAGTTGCAACAACTGTTGCATCTGTCCCCGTATAATAAATCCATATAAAAACAGAGCTCATAAAGATGATATTATGATGTTGAAATTAAGTTTGCACTTAAAAGGGTATTGGGTATTCATGACAATTTTATAGTTTAAAACAAAAGTGTTTAAGATGTTTTTTCTGCAGTTGTTATTTTCAACAATGGTTTTAAAATCCCAGTTTCTTTCTATGTAAATATTGCATAATGTAAGTGTACAGTGACAATAGGCAAAACAAAAGTTAATTGCCTCACAAATTGCTCTATTATCCTTGTCTCAAAAAGCCAACTGTATTTTATATCAATTAGAGTCTTTGACATCTGTATATAAGGTCTACTCATCAAGGCAAATCTATATTCGTCATTTGATCAAAAAGAATAAATAAATAACACTGTAATATCATTATAACTTACAGTTTTTATTAATTTAGCAATAATATAAATATAAAAAAAACTTTTATTTACAGTGAAACATAATGTATTAATAATATGTTGCAACCACCCCCAAACAATGTTGCAACTGTCCCTGGGGTCAGTTGCTACATCTGACTTTTCATTTTCAAATGCAAATAGTGAAGAAAGTACATGCTTTAATTATCTGTAAATGGTTTTGACTATTAACAGACAGATGTAAGTTTATTGTATTAAAATGTGGTTTGTCTATTTTAAACCATCTCTGAGTAACAGAGTCAAATGTAAAAAAGTGTTGCAACTGTCCCCGGTCTCTTACCTTTTACACATTAGACCTGTTTACTTCTTGTTTGACTCATCAGATTCACTTCTTCAACCTACGGTAACTCCAGCCAGGCTGGAAGTAGAAGAAGGAACTCCAGTGACGCTGAACTGCTCTGCCCTTAACCCCTGTCCCATTCTTCCTCCGGTTTTAACCTGGACTCCCAGTGTAGGCGACACGGAGGAGAGTGCAGAAGGAAAATCTGTGATTTCCATCATGAACTTTAACTCTTCCTACATCCACAACGGACAGACGTTCTCCTGCAGCGCTCTCTACAGCCGACAAGCCGGACACAGTGACCTTGTTTACGAAAAAGGTTTAACCTTACGTGTTTTTTGTGAGTATGTACGAATAATTCCACTTCCTGATTGGCTTCACTTTTCTGCCCTAGAGGAGGACTGTTCAACAAAGTGTTTGCCAGATTAATGCAACTATAAAGTCTCTGTGTGTCTTTTTTTAAACAGTAATGAATCTCTTATCTAGATGCTCCACGTAACACATCGGTCAGCTACCTTGATCCAGTTTCTGAGGCCAGCTCAGTGATTCTGACCTGCAGCACTGATGCCAGCCCAGCTGTGGACAGYTACACCTGGTACAAAGTCAACGGAGACCAAGCAGCTGCTGTGGGATTTAAGAAAAGACTTTCAACGACAGTCACAGAAGCTGAAAGGCAGTTTTTYTGCAAAGTCAGTAACAAATATGGAACCCAGAACTCCTCCATCATTCAGATAGACGTTCAGTGTAAGTCAGAGWGAAACATGAACTAACACAAATGTCTCTCTATAACCGGCATGGGAATAAATCCCTATTTGTTTGTATTTTTAGTTCCTCCAAAGGAAACTACAGTAACTGTCGACCCGACTGGTCCAATCCTGGAGGGCAGCTCTGTTTCTCTGCTGTGTRGCAGCCGTTCGAACCCACCGGTGACCAACTTCACCTGGTTCAGAGATGATGAAGTGGATCAGGAGACCGGGCCCGTTCTAGTTCTTGATGACATAAATCCCAGCCATGAYGGTGGCTATCGGTGCACGGCAACAAATCCCCTGGGAGAAGAAAGTTCAGCGAAGCTCGAGCTGGACGTTCAGTGTGAGTTTGTTTACTGCAGATTGTCAGTGCTGATTTAAAAACAGAGCYGTCTGTTGTGGACTCTGCTAAATCCAGCTGTGCTAACCCAAACATGAAGTGAAGCCAAGATTAATGATCCGGTCTGAGCCATGTACAGTAACCACTTGTCACGTTGCATGACAACCTCAGAATGAGCTCTGCTGTGCACGTGTGCTGCTGGACAGAGTTGTGTGTTCGTGTTCTGTTAGGATGCTGTTCAAAAACACAGATGGTGGTTGTTGTCCTGGTTTGAGGAAAAACAACAACCAACTCAAAGTCTAAATAAATTGTGCACTGAGGAATCAATTTAAATTCGACCTGTACAGCTGGACATCCTCTGGATCTTTGGGAATAAATATTAGATGTAATGTCAGTAACAAACTGTTCATACTTTAAAATGTTTTTGTACTTTTGTAATTTTATTATGGATACACAATAACTATGATTGGCATTTTATTCAAATATACAATTAGAATTTTATTTTTCATTGCTTTTAGTTTTTAGTTTTTGTTCACATTAGTTTTAATATTAAGTATGAAAAAGAAAAAAAAAACACTTTTGGAATAATCAATAATCTAAAATCTTTTTGCCTCAAAAACTCCAACAGATGTTGGAGTTAACTAACACATGCTGTTAGCCCTTGTTTTTGTTAGAGATCAACAGTCTTTGAACTTTTACATTTTTAGGTTAGGTTAGTTTAAGTTAGTTAATTTGTTAGGTAGGTAAGTGAGGTTAGGTTATTTTAAGATAGTTAGTTACTTAATTTAGGTTTAGTTAGATTAGTTAGGTTAGATACATTAATTAATTTGGTAGGTAGGGTTAGTTAGTTAGGTTAGTTCAAGGTAGTTAGGGTTGGGTTAGGTTACCAATTAGTTACCATGACTAACCTGTTAGGTTAGTTTGGGTTAGGGTTAGGTTAGTTAGATTAGTTTAAATTAGTTTGTTGTGGTTATGTTAGATTTGGGTAAGTTAGTTGATTAGTTAGTTTGGTAGGTATACAGGGTTTGGTTAGTTAGGCTAGTTTAAAGTGGTTATGGTTGGTTTAATTTAGTTAGTTAGTTAGTTAGTTAGTTAGTTAGTTAGTTAGTTAGTTAGTTAGTTAGGTAGGTAGGTTGGGTAATTTAATTATTTTGGTATGTAGAGTGAGTGAGTTAGTTAGTTAGTTTGTTAGTAGGTTAGGTTAGGTTTAGTTAGGTTAGTTAGGTTGGGTACTTTAATTAGTTTGGTATGCAGAGTTAGTTAGTTAGTTAGTTAGTTAGTTAGTTAGTTAGTTAGTTACGTTAATGGGTTTGGTAGGTAGGGTCAGTTAGTTAGGTTAGTTTAAGGTAGTTAGGGTTGGGTTAGGTTACCAATTAGTTACCATGACTAACTTGTTAGGTTAGTTTGGGTTAGGGTTAGGTTAGTTAGATTAGTTTAAATTAATTTTTTGGGGTTGTGTCAGGTTTGAGTACGTTAGTTAATTAGTTAGTTTGGTAGGTAGGGTTAGGTTAGTTAGGCTAGTTTAAGGTGGTTAAGGTTGGGTTAGGTTAGTTTAAGTTACTTAGGTAGGGTTAGGTTAGGTTTGGTCTAACCTAACCTAACCTAACCTAACCTAACCTAACCTAACCTAACTTAACCTAACCTAACCTAACCTAACCTAACCTAACCTAACCTAACTAACTGGTTGGATTAGGTTAGTTAGGTTACATAATTTAGTTAGTTTGGTAGGCAGTGTCACGCTAGCATAGTTAGGGTAATTTAGTTATGGTTGGGTTAGGTATGGTTAGTTAGGTTAGTTAGTTAGATTAGTATACTATTTTCAGAGTAAAAAAGGGGGTAATGGGGATTTCCATGTCCTGTTCTTTCCTCTTTATCAGTTCAAATAACAACTGTTTTAACAATATTTTTTATCAGACTCGTGTCAAAGCACATAAATGAGATTTGGTAAAATATGTAAAACAACTCAACATTTGGTTTCTTATCAAGGTAAATCCAGACTTCTCACAAAAAAAAAAAAAGATTTTTGCATTTAATACTATCAGAGCTATTTTCTTTCAGATCCCCCTAAGAACACACTGGTGTCCGCTGACCCTCCTGGTCCAGTTCTGGATGGCAGCTCTGTGACTCTGATCTGCACGACTATCGCCAACCCAGCAGCCATAAACTTTACCTGGTTCAGAGCGGCTGGAAGAGAAAAGGAGGTGGTTGGCTCAGATCAAGACTTTACCTTCAATGTGACCAAACTCTCAGAAGATCAATATTACTGTGAAGCTCTGAACATCCATGGAGCTGAAAACTCACAATCTGCCAATATTGATGTCATATGTACGACCTTTTATTTTCATTGACTTTGTCTTTTTTTTTAACTTAAACTGTCACAGAGCATGTAAAAATAACCACTAATGTTCTGTGATTCAGTTCCTCCACAGATCCTACCCTCTTCCCGATGCATCAAAGTTTTATCCTGGTTTCGATGTTCCTGCTTCAGTCAGGGTAACCCACTTCCTTCCTTGGTTTGGGAACTGGCCGGGGAACCTGTCAATCACTCTGCTGACATTGCGATCAGGGAAATAATTATTAAACACAAGACCATTAAGAGTCTCATAACCCTGTACCGTCTGAATGAAGACACACCCTCTCTGGTGTGCCTCAGCAGCAACTCACTGGGCTCTGATAGTCTGGATTATAATATCTCCTCCAGTGAAACCCCACTCGGTAGGACCCTCTGCAGCCTGCTGCATTCATACACACATTAATCATTGATCTCTTGATCTTACTCCTGTGGGTTTGGTGGATTTTCAGGCCTCCACGCTGAGTCGCTGCTCATCGGCTCTGCAGCTGGAGCACTGGGGATGCTGGTGGTGTGCGTCCCACTGCTGGTTTATGTTTGCAGGTAAGAACAAAACTCAGCCAATATATCACTAAAACTTTGCATAATCCATATTGATAGAGGAGTAAACAAATAACAAGGAAGTACCCTTAAAACAGTTCCACATTCCTGAAACACTGTTGGAACAAGGCACAGAGATTTATTAATTATTTTTACTGTTTAAATGACTTCAATCAATTTGAAATTCAGTTAATCAACCACAAAATATTCAAGAAAAAAATGCAATATTTTGTGTTATTAGGGTTTACATTTGGTCTAATGTAATGTACTGAAAAAAATGACAAATAACCATGTATTTTGGATTTATTATAGTTTGATTTTTTTATAAATAACATGACCAATCTCAGTTAATGATATTTTCATTGTGTTTATATCTACCATTATTTTTGTTTATTTTAGGAGAAGCAAATGCAGATCTGCACCACACAATAAACTGTCTGAAACCTCTGAATGTTCAGTTCTCAATGTGGTGAGTTTAGGTTTCTGCAGACATACAGCTAGATTTCTAAATATTTCAAACTAAGAAGCTTTGTTATTTAGGCATCTGTTAGTCATGTTTAAATAAACCCTACTCTTAATATTTAACAACAAAATAAATTCCTATCTGTTCCTGAAAGTGCATTATCCTCTGCCTTTTTAGACTAACTCTCCACCCATGGATGTGATTTATGAAAACAAAGTTACTGAGAAGGAGGAGGAAGAAGGAAGAAAGGAAGAAAACCATGTGGACTTAGTTAAACTTCAGGTCAGGTCAGAGGGTGAGCTCGTGGAAGCTGACAGCAGAGGACTGGCCTCAAAGACTGCTGAGTCCACTGAGGTTTACCTGCATGATGGAGGAAATAAGGAAGCTGCAGAAGAGGAAGAGAAAATTGAAGTCACTCGTTGAAATGAATGAAAATGATATTCTTACACGATGGGTCAATAAGGAGGTGACTGAGTAACTTTAGGTGTTTTTATGAGCAGATTCTGGGCATCAGAAGCTCAGCTGAGATTTTTAAACGTTACACTTCATTAAATGCAGAAGTGAAGATAACATCTGGATACAACACAAGAGTAATCACATGCTTCCAGTCAAAGTTCCTATTTTATGTCCATTTTCTCTCAAAGATGCCTGTATTTGTAATTAAGCCACTATATCAATAACATTGCTGTTTGTGTTTTTAATATCCTCTAGCTGTCTTTGGTAATATGGTTTTCTTACTAACTTCATTCATAGTGAAAATAAAGCAAGACTCCAGTTCAGTCAGCAGTAAAATAATCAGTTTATAGTATTAGCCCATAAGTACACTGTATAAGGAGTTGCTTCATTCTGCGTACATTTAAAAAAAGCCTCATCAAAAATTTACAGCATAACTATAAAATAACACCTGTAAGAGTTTTTACCTTCATCTGTACAAATATTTATCAAAATTGAGCTAACTTATATACAAGATAATATAGATTTAAAATGGTTAAAACAGTCACATTCTTCTATTTTGGTGTTTTGTGTCTGCTCACAAACTAAAACAGAGATGCAATAAAATTAAAAATGGGTGCTTAAACTTGCATCCTGAAGCCATAGTGAAAAATAAGCCTGCTTTACTGAAAGAAGAATTGTGACAGATGGCAGTAAGGTGATACAAATCGGAGCTCAGAGTTTGACCTGGGAGTACTGAGTGTCCTCAGAGCTGCTGGAGTCTCTGGTGGCTCTCTGGTGGCCGGCCTTTGGTTGGAAGTTCACCTGAGAGTAGCTGAGCTCCACCTCGTCCTCGCTGGTGTCTGAGTCATCTTCATAAGAATAGGACGGTTTGTCTGAGTTCATCATGTGAAAGTTCTCATAGACCGTCGGTTGTTTCGCTTTCTGGGGAAAAATCAGTAAGTATTGTTATATTTGTTCCCYTTATCTGGATTTCATGCACTACAGAATCCAAATAAAACACATTTTGTTTTTTGCAACGTGAGATTTCTGACCTCTTTAAAWGATTTTGGCTTGCACACTTGAGAGTACACGCTATCCTCTTCTGGTTTCCTAGAACACACATCATAAAACACGATGTCATATTAAATCTATTTCTCTTTTTCAAAAATAAATCCGACACATGAATTCTCACGTCTTCTTAAAGTGCAGAGAAGCATAGTTGATGGAGTCGWTCTCCACAGGTTCACGCTGGGGTCCGGCTGGTTTTTGTGCAGACGCAGGCTGAACAGACAGTGAAGGGTCAGAGGCGACTGAATCGGTTCATTCATGCTTTAAAATAAAAGCTTTAAGTTGTCCATTCATTCATTGTTCCCAGATTGCAAACACTGTATTCACAAACRGAACAAACAGAGAGGATGCTGCTGCAGGAAGCAGACAGCAGCTTGAACCAGAGACTCGTCTGCTTGGATAAAATGAGGTTCTGCAAAGGAACGTTTTAGGAAACAAAAGCCAGTGAGGATGTTTGATGCCATTTTTTCCTCATTTTGCATCTGTTCAACTGTAAACATACGGAGTTCAGAAAGTCTCATATTCTGTGATCATAGTCAAGTTTATAATAACTATTATTTGATGGAAGAAGTAGAAAATCTGAGGATCTTTGCTACGTTTTTAGTCATTAAAAAGCTAATTCATGTGTTCAGCAAAATAACAATGAATTCAAATAAATAGCAATTTAGTAACTTGGGTGAAATAAAAATCAGCCCCAAAATGCCCAGTGAACCAGTCGATCGATTTGAATGAACCTTTTGGTGCGGGTCAACACTGAAACATCAATACAACTGATACCAGAACTTTATGCTCAAGAGYTGATTCTAAAACCAAAATTTCAATTCTTTGATACTTCAGTCATTTCAGGTAACATATATCATTAACAGGAACACAGTGGAAAATAACTAAACTGCTGAAATCTTGTCTAAATCATATGCAGTTGTTGGGAACTACTTTTTCTTCCGCCTGGGTAACGTCAACACAAAACGCGCAGCATCACATGCTCAATCTGTACATGTTCTGTATTTTTATGTTAATATGTTCATCGTGAAACGTGAATTAAGATGCAAGTTTTCATTTTTTAATAATAGTTTTTGATAAATAATTTATTTTAATGGTTTTATTATTTTATTGCATATTTTATTGTTTAAAATACAATTTTTAAACATTTTGTAGAATTGTGTCCTCTGTTTTTGTTGTTTTAGCTCAGCTTTATTGTAAATGAGGATGATATAT